TTCTCCCCTGTCTTAGTTTGATTAGGCTACCTTATGGAGACGCCAAGAACTGGGCAGCTTATAAGTGACAGAAATGTATTTCTCATACTTCTGGAGGCTGAAATATCAAGTTCAAGGTCCCAGAAGATTTGGTATCTGGGAAGAGCCCAGGTCCCACACAGCTGTCTTTTGCTGTAAGATCATATGCCAAAGGGGCTGTGTGGCTATCTGGGCTTTCTTTTATAATGTACCAGTCCCACTGGTGCATGCAGGGGCATGGTCTTCCTGCAGCCTTGGCCGGCATCAGGGCTCTGCATCTACCCCATTCCAGGCATGCAGGCACCTACCAAAGGTCCCAGTCCCTTCACATTATCATACTGGGGATCAGGCTTCAAAACATGAATCTGAGGGGTGGGGATACCTACATTCCGATCACAGCACTCAGAACTGTGTAACATTTCTGTTCACTCTGGGTAAGCAGGGCCTCTGCCGTGTCTCCTCCCTCCAGGCCCCAGGGATGGAACTTCCACCTTCAGGGCATTGCTGGCTCTGTGTCTGAATTAAGGAGGAGTGGCAGGCTCAGACTGGCTCTGCAAGTCCCCATCTGGAAGGGACACGGGTCATCTCTACACAGTAGTCATCACCAAGGCCTGTCATGTCTCTGGGGCCTAACGCCTGGGGCAGAAAGCAGGAGACCCAAGATGGTGGCAATGACCCTTGAATGTTTCCCATAACAGGTTGCAGGGGGGGGGGGTCCACAAAGCCTTTGGGGAGGGAGGGGACACAATGTGGTGAAGGGTCAGGACCAATGTGAGAGGGATATTTTCAGGGAAGGCAAACTCTGAGTAACACAGCACCAGGCGGAGAAAGTAGGGTGCAATAGAAAGGCTGCAGCCCTGGATGTTGCCCCCAGTGCCACGACAGGGAGATGGCAGAGACTTTTGCAGGCCACAGGAGTCGTAAAACATTTAATGAGGCAGAACATAGGATTTAAGTTACTCAGGTGACACTGTAGCACAGCACACTGTGGATGCGGGGACAGAACACAGTGAAGATATTTGTAGGGAACCCAGCAAGAGCCAATACATAGCAGCAGCATCAAGGTTGGGAAAGACCATGGAGGGGTCTCCCTGCAAAGGTCTGCAAATATTTGCTAAATACATATTAGCCGCGGTCTAAGTTACTGCCCTCCTTTAATGTATGTCCAGTTAGAACTTCAAAATATTCCTGAATTTGGAATGGGTTCTTGCAAATGTAAAGAGTGAGTCAAGAAGAGGCCATAGCAGAACACGGAGGGCCTTACCCACTAGGACAGACTGCAGTTCAACTCGATTCTTCTCACCAGAAGATGAGACACACAGTCATAAGGATGCAGGATGGCACAGGGAGAGCCTGGAGCCCTGCATCTGTAAGCCAAGGGATGCGAAGAACTGCCAGCTGACACCAGAGGCTGCAAAGGGCAAGGGCAGGGTGTTCCTGGAGGCTTTGCTGGGATCAGGGTCCTGCAGATGCCTTGATGTTGGACTTCTGGACTCCAGAGCTGTGAGGGAATCAAGTCCGTGGTCTTCGAGATGCCCAGCACATGGGACTTTGTCATCACTGCTGTAGGATGTGCTCGTAAACTAGGAGTGAGCAAAAACTGATTTCCTTTGGATCAAACATGGTTGCCTCTTCGTTCCTGCTCCAAGGGTTTTTCCACACCTTTCCCAGAGCCTCACATCTCGCCTCATTCCAAACTGGTCTCTTCTCGGGTTTTTCCTATTGCTGACCTTGTTACAGAGAGCTGGGGTTGCTGTCATTGATGTGGATCTTCAGGTGGAGAGCTACAGTTGGAGGCTTGAAAGCGGACTTGGTTATAAAGCAAGCAGAAGGGCTTGTGTCTCTCTCAAGAGTGCGAGCAATAGGACTGGACAGAGGAAGACAGACAAAGATACACTTGTGCTGGCTCAGACTGTGCAAGATGCCAGGAGGGACCAATGAAACACTGCTGCTGGTGATGGCCTCCTGCTGGTGCTGCTTATGGTGCTGTCTTTCTTGCAATGACCCTGTAAGTAACACTATTTGCCTTATAAATAAGGAGTCCCGGGCAACACATTCAGTTGCTCACCCAGGAGTACAGAGCCTGCAGGTGGCAGAAGTAAAATATCAATGCTTCTCAGGGAGATGACTGTGGTGGCTTTGGGAGGACAAGGCAGTGAGAGAGGAGGGGATGAAGATTGTGTTGTTGACAAATATTAGAGAGTTATTCGACCAGGTCTAAAAGGAACTGGCTAAGTTACATATTACAAGGGAAAGGACAAGAAGAGGCTGTGGGGCTGAGTGTGCAGATCCATGTTCTGAGAAGTTGGAAGAAGAAAGGTGGGGGTGGGTGGGCCATGATAACTGGTAGGGACTGGAGGTGCACACAGGGTGGTCGAGGAGGGGTCACTCACTGTAGGGAGTGCTTCTTGCTGATTGGGATGATCTAGAAGAGATAGAGAGATGGATGCTAGAGGAGAGGGGACCCTAATAAACTGGATTTTCCAGCAGGAGAGATACTTGCTTTTCAGGAATGGTTCCTCATTTTATTAGGAAGGAAAAGAATACAAGACTGCATCTACTTACTCACAAACTTTAGTCAAAGGTGCCTGGTGATTTCTTACACCGTAACTTTCTCAAGTCACCATAGCTTATAAGCTTGAGGGGGGTGTAGCACAGACCTGTATATTCTTCCTCATTGATCTAAGCCCTCTCGAGTCTCTCTCAACCCCCGCAGTATCCATAGATTCCAAGAAAGAGAGTTGGGAATAGTGGATTCCAAGGAGTAATTTAAAATCTAAGGTGTTACCAAACAGAAACTGCCAGTGAACTCTGTGCCACAAAATCTAATCTCGTTCTGTTGATAGCTTTGTAGTGTGTGATCACTTACTGAGTAAATCTAATTCTATTGCTGTCCAGTGAGAAAAGGAAATACTTTCAACAGCTCATTGCAGCTACACCCACTTTCAGCTCTGAGAGCTCCTGCTGCCTCAGCTGGCTGGGCCAGGGATGTGGCTGTCCAGACAGACAGGCAGGGCTCTGTTCCTGCAGCAGGGTGACTCCTCTGTGGGTTGAGCAGCCTTCATCCACCCTCAGGGTGCACGGCATCTGGCAGGGTACTAAGTTGCCTTTTTCCTACACTGTAGCCTCCTTAGGGGGATATGAGACAACTGGTTCATCCAGTGCTCAGTGGAAGGGAAAAGCAACTATAGGAGGGACAGGAGCCATGCTGTGTCCTCCTGAGAGGGTATGTGTGGACCAATGACACTGTCCTCAGAACTTTGCCGAAGTCTTTGGGACTCTGGTTTTAGGTGCCACTGCTCCAGGTCCCCCCTTATCTCTCTGCTCTGCTCTCCGCACTCTCCTTGCTTTGGCTTCTGACTTTTCAACACTGAAGGTCATCTAGAAGGTTGGCCTTTCTGAGTAAACCCAGCCCCTAACAGGTGACATCTTCAGGTTTTCTAGCTACTCCTGGCTGCTCTATGTAATCTGCCCCAAGGGAGATTTCCCCAAAGAGAAAGGAAGTGGCTTCCCCTGGCAACATGCCTTTCTCTGCCCATGCACCAGGAGCTCCATTTTTAAATGAAGGAGCTAGCACCGTCCTCCATACTTTTGAACTGAATGCTTTGTATATTTGACAGGTAACAAACCATAGGTGCTAAATGTTTGCTGAAGATCAAAATGAGACACAGAAAAGTGGATGTGAACAAGTCGGGTAATAGAGTGCTAGATCCAAGAGGGTCTTTAGATAACAGAACAGCTCCCAAGGATGCTAATTATTCATTCTTATATCTCAAAGACTGAAAATGCTGCTTGTATGTAGCAGTGCTCAATACAACTGTGGAATCAATCAGCTAAACCTTGTTGTATGAATGGTGAAACTGAATTATGGGCTCTTGGCTTTTTCAGTCCTTTCCCAGTTGCTGAGCGCAGACTCAGCTCATAGCAATTGCTCAATAAATATCCACAGAATAACAAAAGGGCTTTATGGAGGTGAAAAGGGTGCAGAGAAGAAAGCCGGTCCGTGCCCTGAGCACAGCTAGGGCTGGTGCAGGAAAGAGGGTCACACAGTTAGTAGGACAGGGAGGAAGGCATCTGAGCCAGCCCTGGGTTCAGTGGTGAATTGGGGACTAGGAAGGTGGCTTTGGGACATCTGTGCTGGGCTGTGCAACAGTCTCTCTTTATTCCTAAGATGATGTTTCTCCAGAGAAGCGTGGTTCTCTGTGGGGCTTCACAGTGAAACCAACCTGGGGCACGGTTCACAATAACCATCGCCCAGGCTGCACTCCCTGAGTGTAGATGGAACTGCTCTAGGGCGTGGCACTGGCCTACACCTGTTTTAAGCTTCCAGGAGCTTCTCATACTCAGTCCATGTTGAACTCCGCTGCCTTTTCTGGTCTTGTGAGAGAGAACATGGGGACAGGCGACAGACAATTCCACAACAAACACCAGCAGAGCAGGACCAATTAGGGTAGGCAGGCTGGTCACACAGAGGGGCCATCACTGAAGACTGTCCACGCTCTCAGAACCACCGAAGACCCAGAAAAGGGAGGTGCAGTCGTGAGGCTGGGGCTGTGGGAGGGCAAGACTCCCAGGGAATGCGCTGGGCAGAGTCAGCTGAGCCAGGCTGGGGAGCCCAGACGCTGAGACCAGGAGGAAATGGGGAAGTCGCCCAGAGGGATGTCTGGGCGTGGCGCGAGGAGACGCCAAGCAGGAGAAACTCCTAGGCAGAGACAGGGTCTAAGAGGCCACAGAGGCACAAGGAGCTCCGCAGGCACGAGCACGAGAGCGCACGCGCAAATGCACACGCGGTGGCCTCGGCCTCCAGGACCCTGTAGGGGAAAGCAGAGCTGAACCCACCACCCCCAACCCAGCTGGGAGGCCCCTCCCCGCCGCGCCTCCACACAGGCTTGCGCAACAGGCAAGGAGGAGGGAACGGGG